CCCCCGGTGACCAGAGCCTGCAGACACAGGAGGGTCCTGGCCAGGCTCCCCTCCCTGGGGTGGCTCCGTGCTGGCAGCCTGGGCTCCCCATGTCCCCTCGTGTCCCTCTGTGCTGCCGTCCCAAGCCGAGGGTCTCCTCCCTACCCCCTCTGCCTGCCTGCGGGCTGGCTTGGCTGGGAGCCCTCTGCTCCCTCCCCATTGCTGCTGGCTGAACAAGGTGGTTGGTTTGACTTAATCATGTTGGGTGGCAATTAAAGAGCTCTCCTCATCCATTAGAGACTGCAGCAGATTTTGCGCTTAAGACCTTGCATCTTACATGGCTGGTAATATTTTATTATTTAGTGAATGAAAAGAAGAAAAGGAAAATCCCTTTAGGGCTGCCGGTTCTTGCTGACAGCTGAGCTGATACAAGCTGGTAATGTACTTTATTCTGCTTAATAGCAATGATCCGCCCAGCAGGGATTAAATCAGAGGCGCCGGTAACACACCTGAGAAACGAAGGCAGCTGATAACCCCCCGGCACTTAACATGGGGGCGGTGGGAGAGCGGTGCTGGATGGTGGGGCTGCTCAGTGGGGCTCCGCCGGCCCTGCTGCCCTGGCCCCGGGGTGCCGTGGAGGCAGCAGATGGGGCACATGGGGGTCCCGCTGCCCCCCACAACCTGCGTCACACCTGGAGCCTGGCAGGAGCTTTGGCAACAGTGATGGGGGTCTGCTCTGCCCCACGGGGGTCTGCTCTGCCCCGGGGCAGGGACGGCAGAGCCTGCGGTGCCTCTGGGTGCAGGAGGCTCCACCATGCTGTGGTGCCGGGAAGCGTCCAGATCCGTCCCTGTCTGTCGCCCCCAGCGCTACCTGTGGACTGCGACCAGAGCTGCGCCAGGGGTCTGGCTGTGACGGTGGGCTGCCGCTCGGGGCCATCGGTCCCCATCCCACGCGCTGCAACCCGGGAAAAGCCCCGCGGCCGCTTCCCCTTTTCCGCCTTCCCACTCACCAGGCGGCCTGGGGAGGGGGGGGGCTCTTGCACCACAGGCTGGGAGCCCCCTGCTCACCCCGAAACCTGCCTCGTCCGGGCTGCGAGCACCCACCCTCCCTCCGAACCGAGCTCCCCTGCCTGTCCTGCACCACGGCCCCGTGTCACCGCCTGCCTCTGCGCTGCCACAGCCTCATCCCGTGGGACCCTCCGTCACACCTCCGCTCGCACCCTGGCAGCCGCCTCCTGCGCATCCTCCTGCCCCAGCCCCTCCGCCGGGCTGGCCGGGCCCCGGGGCTCTGGCTGCGGGTGCCCTGCAGGGATGGCACCCTGCCTCTTGTCCCCCTGTCCCATCCCAGGGACGGGATCTGTGGGCTTGTGAGAGTGACTCAGAGCCAAAGGGGA